TCATTATATTTAACATTTAAACATATTTCCTGCATATAAAATAAAATGTTTTGTTTTCACTCTTGTGGAGGTTTGTCCACAGCGGTCATGTGAGGGGATCTGGGGTTTCTCTGTGAGTGTCACATTCCTGTGGCAGCGTGCTCGCTGCTCGCTCACAGTTGACGTTTTCTGTAGAAAGTTTTCTTCACACAGAGTGCACAGCGACACTGATGTTTGTGTCACTTTTTACGCAATCAAACTCAAAGTAATGTGATTACTTCCACGCTTTAAACGCTGCACGGTCGTACTCTCTCCATCACTCCATGTTATCCGTTGTTGATCTGCACGTCTGTTGCTGTCACGGACGCCACACGCTCGTACGCCATTATCATGACACACAAACGAAATCACGGTTTAGTAACGCAGCGCGCTTACGGGAAAGTAACAGTAATCCAATTAATGTTTTGCAATAGTAATCCCTTACTTTACTTGTTGTAATTGGCCCATCTGTGGTGAAGCTGTGCGTCACAAGTATGAGTAAAGAAACCCAATCAGGACAGTTTGTATATTTAATGGTTAAACAAACAGCTCAGAGGACAAAAGCATCGCACACAGACATCATCCAGCTCAACAAGACTTACATATTCACTGTTTCTGGACTTTATTCTGGAAGATCGTGTCTCAGTGATTCTGTTTTTCAGCTCCGTGAGGTAAAGAAACATGTTTTAAGCTGTGATAGAAAACATTGATGGACAACAGCAGGTTGTATGAAAGACTTAACAATTATTGCTAAAATGTTAACAGGTGTCATAACAGACGCACTATCGTTAATGTGGGGACTCCTCAGGGAAGCTCCTGGCTCCTCTTTATTGGCCCTGTACAGTCAATATCTGAAAATACAGCTGCAGCTGTGCTGATGATATCCAGCTTTATATGTGTGTGTAACACCTGTTAAGGATGTTAGTACGAGTGCTTCATAAATAGCTGTGTTAAACTTCAAACACCACCTTTGTCACTGGCCCTGAATGGAGTATTTGCCAGTAAAGCAGCCACAGTGGGAACATTACTTTGATTTCAAACACGTTTCAGCAAAACTTTTATATCACAGAGGCGCTAACCTTTTAAGATTGACCAATCAACAAAACTGCTGCCGTCTGTTCGGCCAGCTGAGATGGAAATCTTAGTCTGGCATCTTGGGAACATGGAGCAGCCGTGCATACAGGGATTTTCCTGAGAATCACAAATCCAGAGCATCTCATTCACACAACAACAGGACAACAGAGCACAAACGAAACAGAGCAAGCACGGCATGCTGTGTCCACACACTGCAGGCTGGACATGAAAACAACAGAAGCTTCTTACAATAACGAGGGTAACCGCTCCATGTTTCACTCACTTCCTTTTAAAGGAAATGTTTATGAAAATCTGTACAGACCTTTGGTTGGATATGCACTCCTGTATAGACCTCTACTAGTGTACAATATACATATTTGATAACTCTAATTTAAATACTAATTTGGCTAAAATGAATATAAAAAATAACATGTATATATATA